ACTCATTTGGCATGGTTCAGTTGGGACTTAGTTAATATATGAATCCATTGCTTTAAATAATTGGATATAGATACAACCAATAACATAAAAATAGACATGTACAAACCACCCTAAACCCCATAGACACTGAATATACACAGTCCTTGGTACCATAGCCCGGTAATAGCTGTATTAGTACCATCAGAGTTAGTAGATGGGAACTACTAACTCTGATACTAACTCTGATACCATTGACTTAATTGACTTTACATGACTAACAAACACTGCTATTCAAAATCATAACTAGCCGAGGTAAAAACTGCACAAACCCAATGATATGTCTGATGAAAAATTACCTGAAATTGCAGGGAGTCTCCTCTTGGTACTAAAGCCCAACCTCCAGGACCAAATGCCACATTTAATATCCTGCGATATTTTATTTCAGGTAAATAAATAAGTCCTTCAAAACAAAACATAAAGATCAGCATGAAGTGACATCATCCATGAGAGTAGCATTGCATGATGACACATTGGCAGCTGCTAAAGGAGGCTAGCATAAAGTATACTTGCTGACAATTACCAAAACTATGAGCATTTATAGGCACACGTCAATTGAAGCCCCTGCGCCTAAACAGGGTGTGGGTGTTTCAATTGACTCATGCATTTAATAAAGATACAGTTTTGATACAGCATTACAATATACTTTTTAAAATGACCTTCTATAAATATCACTATTGGTAAATATTAATAAATATAATAGACTATTATAAAATATTACCATCAGGCTTAATTTCAATGTCCTCCWCATTCACAGGCGCCATTAGAACTTTGCTTACGGTTGTGTCAAAAGGAATTAAGCCTGCTCCACTAAATCCTTCCGGGAACCTGAATAAAACAAAAATCATTATCGATGAAATTTATCAACATCATCCTGCWGCCACACGTGACAAACCTGTCAGACGACACTACACTGTCGTTATTCCTGAAGTTTTCCGTTAATTCTTGTCCATCTGGCCTTTCAGTAGAAAAGAACACTACAGATGTTCTTAAYCGCCCTATAAATAACGATACAGTTGGTTGTAACACTCTAAAAGAACTCTGTATCAGCCTTCTTGTTGTTGTCGCCATGTTTGAATATGAGACTGGGTACTAGTTGTCACAGGAAGCCCACCAATTGACCACGCCCTCGGAAAAAAGAAAAAAACAGGCGGCTTTGTGCAAACATTGTTATCAGCAAAGATAACGATAAGCAAGAAGTTACCTATTGGCTGGGGCAGTTTGACTTTGATTGAAAATTGATTTTTCTGCAGTGAATAGAAAAAAACTCCCTGTAAAGCGACGATCTAAATCAGTTAAAATCAATTGAATCATTCTCTAAAAGTAAAACCTTTTTTCCGCGCTTTATCCTAAGCCGGAAAACGATAAAAAATAGTCAACCGTCTTCGCTATTATCAATTACCAGTTTATTTGCTTATTTAGAAGGTGTTTTTGTCTATTCAGTCTTCCTAAAAGTGGTTTTTACACCGCGCCCCTAGGGGCCTGAATCAATCAATATAAAAGTGATGTTTTATTTCCTGTCAGTCCAAAGCCTTTCCTAATATTGCAGCTAAGTGTACTTTACTTTGTTTTTTAATTTCCCGGCGCTTCAACGGTCATTGCGCATATTAATAATCCTGCGTCACTTCTCTTTTATGTACCATTGTTCAGCAACAACACAAGCGAGAAAGAAAATAGACACAAATTGATGGTGTTTATTACCGCAGTGACTACTTTCAAACCACAGGCGATGGAGTGAAATCGCGCTCAAGCATTAACATCAAAGGATTTCGCACGAACAAGCAAAGCCTATTTTTGTGGTAAAGTTGTGTATTATATTGCCATTTCTCTGTTTACAAGAGCCTGACATCACTATCTGTTAATGATACTCGATTTTCATAATACGCTGTTTTAAAGTGGCTATTTTAGGCCTGACTAGTAYAAGGTAATTCATTACACACATAACATCGTATTGATCATACCTACTCTTGTTATTAACTATTCTGTGTTGAAACGAGAAATGGAAAGTGAGGCTATCCCTACTTTACATGTTGACGGAGGTGCAAAGAAATCCTACAAGATCCTTTTGACAACGTTTGTATTGATAATTGTGTACACTGCTGTACTTGGCTTCGTTATAATGTACATACTGAATGCTAACAAAGATATCAAAACAGCTCAACAACAAAACAACCAAAAACTACAAGAACTGCAGCAACAGATCGAGAGGTTGAAACAAGTTGTGAACGCATCGATAGCATAGACGACAAACTGTTTTCACAAGGACCCAAATAAATGGGATATTTTGGTGACACACAAATGTTTTATTCAAGCAATAATACTTGTGACGGAAGTCCTCAACTCAGAGCAAATGTTTACAGTAGAAAGCTACAAGAAACAGCTTTTATATGGTGACCCGCTACGGGCAAAAAAATCATCCAGCTGATAATGGAAACTTTGAAGAGCATTTGGTTGTTGTGGTAACGATACGCGAGTAATATATAATTTATAGTATCAGAAATGAAAAATGGCATAATGTGAGAAATTAACTAATGCTATCAATTCTCAACAACTATTTAAATTTGTCCCAGTTTAAATCATTTGAATATGGTAAAATTGTAAAGCAATGAATACGTTCTGACAAAATAAACTGCTGTTTCAATTTCTGAAAACACATTGTGGGGAAAAAATAATGCAAATTATTCCCCAAAATAACTTGCTGACTAACAACTGACCCTTAACCATCTTTATTCATTTCACAATTCATTTTTATTTTTATCAATATAGCAATATATTCCTTTAAAGCTCTTGAGCAAACCAGCTGGCCTTGCTGTATATATTTTATTCAAAGTCGTGTTTTCACCTGTATTTTAGAATAAATTGAAGTTAATTCCATGTGGATGTTACCATGAAATATCCTGTTCGTCACAGTTTAAGCACTCACAGATGATGCTAGCATGATTTAAAAGGATTTTAAGAATCAAAGTAAAGAACTACAAAATGCCAATAAGCGCTTTCTGTCCGCTTTTGGTAAGCTTTTAATGGAAAAAGAACCTTGATTTTTGATGTCATGTTTCAAGGATGTACCATTTGTCGCCAATAATCTTTGTAGATAGTCCGTCATAGTTGACATTAATACCAATCTTGATTTCATGCTCATAATGGTTCGTTGTCAAGGTAACGTAAGAATGGTAGCACGTCTTTCACTTTCATCCTGTAGTCTACTAATGAACACACTTCATTGTCTCTTAAATCCAGTTTCTTTAATCGTGGGCAGTCTTTCAATGTTTCCAGGGAGATGACATCCTTAATACCTACATTATAGTTAAGAATTAATCCTCATAGTACAATTTCCTCTATTCTAGTGTAGGGTGGTTGCCACAAGGTGACTTTGCATKCAACCTGGTTTCAGGGTTCAGATACGGCAGCTGTCATAAGAGTGAATCGGTTCGATTAAATGTAAAATGAGTATTTGATTGACATAATCCATTATGCTTGAGGAGAAATAGCCTTAGATGAAATAAAGGCCACCAGATACTGATGGAAATTGAATTGTCATAAGATTGAGAACGCGGTGTTTATAATACATCCACTAGATTAATAATTGAAATTTGATTGACATAATCTATCCTGTGAGTACGGTAAAAGATTATCAGATATTACTGTACGTTTACTTGTATTAAACGTTTGAGATAGCAGAATCCGCCACCACAAATGATCCGATCAAAATCTAGGCCAACAATATGCACATTTCATTTCACTGCCTTATTTTCTAAGAAAAATCGCTATTGGTGGTTGATACCGCCACTCTAATTGGCTCTAAGTTGATGCCCCCGGGATTAATTTTGGAAAATATTTTGTCAGTTTGCGGAGTAAATTTTCGTGATAATTTAGACCTTGGAAAATGAACAATGCTCACGGCGATAACCTAAAAAGCTTTTTAGAAACAAATATAACCGCCTACATAGAGAATAGGATGTCAATCACGCCAGCCATCTCGTCAATTTGCCTACTTTCGTTTTCAAAAATATCTCGATTTCTTGCACCAACTCAGGGGTGTGGCAAATGATTGTTATTTATGCAAATACGAAGGATACAGTTTTTGTTGACAATCAATTCTTCCAATTGGTTAAGGCGCAGGGATATGGTCTGTAGTTTGTTGCTGGACACTATAAGTGTCTTTGTGCACTGTAATGCGTTGCATTGGTCCAGGTTTGTMAGTTCGTTAGATGAAAGGTCCACAGTGTTGACCAGCAGAAGTTGCTGCATATGGTAGAGATTGGTTAAACCCTTAAACAACAACAAAAACAAAACAAAATCAATGGTCTACACTTTGTCTTTCGCTTAGAAAACATCATTATACAAACATATAAGATATTAAAAAGTGATTTCAGACATATGAATAATGCCGGCGGATAAATCTTTCGTTATCGGTTTTACTACCATCAACAGGTAATGCTGGTCCTTTACTCCGCAATTGATAAAATTATTAATTACATATTATTTTATTTTAACAATGTTATTTTCAATTTGTGAACACATTTATAAAATGTTTTTACGAAAATAATAATAAGCTATTGCCTCGTAATTATAGTGTATCATTATTCATTATTCGAGTGATGCGTCTTTCTATCAATAGAAAGTCCCCGCAAAATATCGTRTTGATCAGCATAATAAGCCATTGGGTTTTCAGCTTTTGTAATGATAAATGATTGACAYGTATGGTAACCGCCATCAAACTAATGAACAATTGTCTTCAAACACCGGAAAACCCTTCATGTTTGACTTAAAAACTGTCACCTTTAGAACTAACGTTTCATTGAGAAATAGTTCAATGTTTTAGTATTTGACTTACCATATTTGATAAATTGATAGATCTTTTGCATCCTGTGATCTTGAATGCAAACAATCAATTAGAATGAAAATGCAAAACATATTATTGTATCACCGTATTGTGTAAAAACGCAATAAAACATAAAAACATGGAATTGAAGAGAGGAAATTAAACTGCAATACAAAGGAGCTTCACTAGAAAATGATCGCAAAAGTCGGAGAACAAAACAGGAAACAGCTGTAAAATAAGGGACAGAAAACAAAGTGATGATCAGGTTTACAGTCCTGCAAGGTATCTCTTCCACGAATATTTAGAAATGGAGGTTATAAACAAAAATAAAATAAAAAGGAAATGAATTGTTAAAAGTGAAAACATACATTGTTGGTCTCTTTCCAGTACTTTTCAATTGCGTTTTCTAAGGCAAATTTCTTGCAGAGGTCGTCATAGTAACCACGACGAGAAGGGTCTACTTGGCACAGTTTAGTTAAGTACTTGTTTGTCTCGTCTTGATACGTTAAAGCGTCTAAAGCTCTCATTAGTAGAACTATGGTGAAAATTGTCCCTGTAGAATTATAATGACAAAAAATGTACAGATATCAACCCACTGGTTTACATTATATTTTATTACTTTGCTTCCTCATCAAGATGCGTTGTTTTTCTTGTATTTATTATTATCAGAAACAAAAGTACTGCAACCCACACTAGACTGTTTATTTTCCAGGAGTCTATTAGTTTGTTTGCTGAAGTGGATGTTTATTTTCCAGGAGTCTATTAGTTTGTTTGTTGAAGTGGATGTTGTGCTTAATGATGTGGACAGTACATGAGTTTATTGGGTTAGCTGTAATTAATTGAACTTATTTTAAAATAGTTTTAAACCAAACACACTTACACTTGTTGTCAGGTTCTTCTTCTAACAACATTTTACAAGAATCCAATTCATTCTCCAGTAAAGAACTGTGAATTGCTGTTAATTCAGCCCTGTAAATAAGATGCATAATGAYAAGAATGGTACTGTGTGGTTGTTTACGATGAAGGTATGCAAAGGAGGCACAAAAATAGGGATATTTATACCCATTAGAGCATACAAATTAGAGCATACAAACGAACATTGCTGCAACCCCCTGTGTAATCAATTTAGTTTCCACAGCATAGTGTATTTCATGCTTAAACTAGCCTAATTGCATTAGCCACATATCCACATATATCAAAGGGTATGTACAAAATCTTATATCAAAGGGTACAAAGTCTTAGGAGGYGTGCATCACTGTTGTGTAAGATGGTTTACTCTTTGAAAATACAACTGAAAAAAGAGAAGAAGAGAAGATGGAATGGCTATTATTGATTCCTACCTTAGAAGATGACTATCACTCGACAGAGCCCATGATTCAATCTCACCTGCAATAAAAGTATATTTTATTCTGTAATAAAAACTTCATGCATTCCTTATCCTTCCTTATCCTTCATTCTTTATTATAAACTCACTTGATTTACATCACAATTCCGTTCATTAATTTGCTAAATAGGCACTTAAGGTTATCAAAAAACCTTTTCCCTACATTTTCCTTACCTTTTCCTACAGATACTGACTTAGTGACCTTCTTCTCTCTTAAGGTTATTGTAACATTAACAGTTCTGATAGTATCATTCATATCAAAATCAAATATGTGAGTTTCATTAAGGAATACATCTAAACACTTCCTCAGTTCTATGGACTTTAAAGTCACTAAGGAGTAATTGTGAGAAAGGAAGAAAAGAAAAGAAATGTAGGCAAGTATATGGTGTATTGTATTTTCCATTATATCATGTGGTAAACCCAGTATTAATAGTTAATCATAATTATTGTAAAGGATATCCATATGTAACAAGGTCGGCAGCTTGAAAAAACATTTCTCCATGTTCCTTGGACCTCTTGGTTGTTTATAACAACAGAAGGACTTAACAAGGATACCTACAGAAAACACACATTTCAAACGTTTGTAGAACTTTCTAGATTGATTTGACAAGTACTTACCTTGACTAACTGTGAAAATGATAAGATCAATATTTTGTGGTCTGTATTGATGTAAGTACATGTGACATCCAGAGGTATTTGAGCTGAAAAACAGGAAGCACCATCTTATTATAACTCAACAAATTATCAGCCTAAAACAACTAAACCCAAAAATCTCATCAAACAACTCTATCTGATGAAAAACCTAGAAACTGCCCACCACACACATAGCAAACACTCACCTTTTGACTTTACCTAGCAACCAGTTCTTTCCAATCACTACCTAGTAACCACTTAGATCTACCTAGCAACCAGTAATTACTCACCTCTCCCTAGCAGCCACCTGTGATAAAACCAAGCACTCTGGTCATTCGGATCAGTAAAAAATGCATTTTGTGCCAACTCAAACTCTATTCAAAAAAATAAAARATAAATAAAAATGAGATATAACTTTATAATTATTACTGTGATTATGTAAACACAGATCATTAAGTCCAAGTAGTCCTTCTTACTGTAATCATAAGGAAGACTYAAAGCATAGACTAGATATAAATAAAAATATAAGTCACCACAGATGCAGGAAAATGTAGATGATTTCAAAATGTTATTTTACCTCTCAATAAAGCTTCTTCCTCAATTCTTTCAGGATTTCCACTTTCATGAGGATGCATCAAAGGTAATAGTTTACTGCGGTAATGCCAAGATGAATAATTTGAAAAGTTTTCTACTATTTTATCYGTGCTAAACTTGAATTCTTCTTCTGGTGTTATTTTTGCTTTCTTGACTACTGTCCGCCGATAATCCCAACAATGAACTGAAAGAAAATTTGCTAATATTGAGAATTTAAAGAAGCCTGTGAACTCATAAAGTAATAATGCAAGCATGTAATGGATCATATTTGTATTCCTCAATTATTATTGGACTGAAAAAAATGCTTGTTAAATGTGAGGGAATATTCCAAATATAAATAATGTTAATCGTATTTCCCATGCATGACCCATTAGTGTAAGATACATCGTAGTTTCAATAGCACAAACTGACAAAATTGACCTTAAGTAAGACAAGCACAAGAAACAAATGTTTTGGTTAATGTTTTGTTATTTGAGTCACTTACAATTCCGTTCATCAAAAGACAAGAATAAGTTACAAAGCTGCATTTCTTGTTTCCAATTCGGATGAGGCATAAATTCATTGATCCATTGTCTATGATGCCATACACTGTATGACTTTGGGTTAACTTTAAGACAGCTTTGAAGGAATAGTAATTCCTTTTTGCAGCATTCTTCTAGCTTACTATCAAAACCCCTACAATAGAGCAAGTTATTAGTTCGYATTCATTTAAAAATTCTTTTTAGAAAATAAAAAGTATCACAGGCTAGTCACTGCCTTTTGCAATTGTACATCTCGATCAAGGGAGATRTGTTTTCATAGTGAGGAAATGTCTCTGGTTTGAGTTGAAAGCTCTAAATTTATGGCAACACTTACACAACAAATATTTACACATTTCAATAATTAAAAAAAAAATACCTTTTCTCTTTAAAAGCTAAAAAMGTTTCTCTCCTAAAATTCCACAATGTAGTGAAATCAGGATTGGCTGCAAGAATCTGCTCTGTCAGCTCAAGTGCTTCTTTGTCCATCTCATTATTTCTTCTCTACAATGTTGTTAAAAACAAAGCTTGTATTGTTGTTTTAAGAGCAAAACACTTTGATATGTTTATGAATGTGTCAAACATTCWATCATCCTTAATTCATGAATTCAGTTTTTGACAGCTTTTCTATACCTTAGTAAAGATCTTTTCGGTAACTTCATTGTAGATTTTCATCTTTTTCTCGCGTTCTTTCTGTTTTGCTGCTGCTTGTTCTGCAGATGTCCTGACCTTGAGTCTGCCATGCTGTACAAGAAGGAAAATCATGACTTCACTTTCTTTAAGACCATTTTCTTTCATTGCTCCTTCTAAATCACTCAACATCTTGGACAATAAGTAATTTACTTTGTGGGTGTCTGGTAGGTATTGATGYCTAAAAAGCTCAAGACTTGAAATGTCAACATGAAGAATTATATATTATAGATCATGCAGGTGATTCACCATAAATATCTAAAAAAGATGTTTTCAAGGCATTGTTTATGTTAATTGAGGTCCCATACAAGTATAGCCAATCAAATCCATTAAACCTGCATGTATGACTGCTGTTTTCAGCAATTCAAAGTGCTATAGATCTAATCAAATCACAAGTCATGATACAACAAAACTATGGCTTTGTTCTTTCACTGCTTCACAACAAACGAATTTGAATGGTTAATCTTTATGTCATCAATTATTCAAACATGGAAATTAGTTCTTGTGCACTGTACCTGAACAAGAGATGACAATATGCATGGATTTAGTTCTGCAAGCTTTGTGAATTGACGGTCCGTTCTTACTTCATCATCTATTGATTTGATGAGTTTAATATCGGTGCTAATCAAGAATAAAGGGAAGTGATTACCGGAGATTCTCTAATGTTCTTTAAAAKCACCGTCAGATCGACACAATCTTACCGTGTTTTGGCCATAACTATAAGCTTATACACTATCTTTACAAAACCCGCACTAATACCACGAAGAAAGACACATGTACTGCCTACAGCTGAGTTATAGCAGTTGAGTTAGAAGGAACACTTGAAGGTTCGGCAGTACAGTTTACAAATAGGTGTCGAGTTATGCCGCCAGACYGAAATCTTGGTAGTATCGTGGTGTACGGGAAACCTCGGGGGGAGTTTATTACATCCGTATGCAAATTCATCTACACTGATTTTCGCTTTGATTGCTCAAAAGAAAAAGAAAAAAGAAAAGARCGAAAAGGATCCAATCGATACAGAACTGGGACTGGAAACTAAAGAATCTCAAAGAATCTCATGAATGCACGATCGTATGTTAGAGCGTTTGTGGGAAAATCTTCATTATCATTGTAAGCAATAAAATCTTTAAATATTTTGGCGTAATTTAAGCAGGATGATATTCAAAATAAATAACCTATATGTCAAAGGTTTGAATTACAATGCAGTAGGACAAATATACTCGTGTGATATGGAAATATAACTCCGACTTACCATCTTAAGCTTATCTCTAGGGACTGGAATAGCCTACAACAAGATAATTTCACTAGTGGAAAATAGCATTGATAAATATAATTGCAGAATGCCAAAAATTTAGATTGCTCTAATTACGTATAGAATTTGACGATAATCAGATTCCTGATAGAAAAATATTGAATTTCAACGTGTCCGCCATGTTGAAAACCGCGAAATCCTGGTACTGATTATAATTCTAGTCGGGAGGGAGGGGTAAGTAGGAAAGATCTGTGTGGGGTGGAGTAAAATTTCAAAATTTATTCAATATGGAGGTAAAGTYCATTCATCTCTGAAAATCAAAAATTTATCGTTTMTTTCCGATGGATTCTCTTCTCAGAAGTCAGACTAAGGCATGAAAGACATATCCCAACGTACTAAGAAAGTAGATTTCAGTTTTCTGATGTTATTGTTTTAGGGGTATTAGGGTGTTGAACACGTCATAGTTTAGAAACCACAAGACGTTCGTCCTCATCGATGCCACCTATAGTTGACAACACTGAATCTTTCTTTATCATGGSTCCATCTATTATCAACGCTATATCATGGTTGTCGTCGTCTGCTATGGTGTTTGGTGGTGTTGTTCCTTACATACCTCAATACTGGGATATATGGAAATCCAAAAATGCTGAAGGTTTTTCTATCTATGTTTGTCTGGCATTRCTTGTTGCTAACGTACTTCGTATCTTCTTTTGGTATGTTTATTATAGTTTATCCATAATAATGGTCTTTTCGGCACCCAGTGCTTTTACAAGAGTACCTTTCTTATATGCAAGAAACCAACTCATAGCTAGACTGAAATGTTTTGGAATTTAACTGTCTGGGATAAGATAAGATACTTATCTTTCTATGAGACATCCCTATACCKATCAAACAGCTTCACTTATAGCAGCATAAGGACAAATGCAGACATCAAGTGCAAAACTAGCAAAAACAAGAAGAAGATCAAGTGCAAGAAAAAAAAGAAGACATCAAAATATCTTGAGCTTGCATTTGGGTTTGGTTTGTGCTTGATCTTGCATTGCTAGTAAAAAAACAGGCTTCATTCATGAATTTCTTGTAGTATTGCACTCAGTCTGAATACCAATCATTCAYGTTAATACAACTCTGTTCTTTCCAGGTTTGGTCGTCATTTTGAATCACCTTTACTCCTACAAAGTATCATAATGATATTTGCAATGCTTGCAATGTTACAACTTTGTATTAAAATCAAGCGTGAAACYGATATAAGCAGTAAAAGAAGGTCATTTTTTGGTGAGWTTTTGTGTTTTGCAAAGCATTGAATCATTGTTCTGTACAGGATACATCRTTTGTTGTGTTTGTGCTTTCACGTGTTGAAAAGTATGATATTATAAAAGTTCAATTATTGCTTGGAAATCATTGTTAATATGWACTGCTTTGAAATCAATCAACAATTAAATGTTCTGTTAGATAGCTAGTGTTAATGTATTTTTCTCATTTTTTCAGATTTTAAGATGAAACATTTTTGGAACTGGACTCACTTCTCAGATTATCTTCTCTGTCTGATGGTATTTTTAGCAGTTGGTGGCTACTTAACATATCTTGGTTTAACATCTTTCTTGTTTGTTGAAACTGTTGGGTTTTTAGCAGTTTTTACAGAAGCAATGCTTGGTGCTCCTCAGTTTTATAGAAATCATCAGAAAAAGTCAACACTTGGAATGAGGTGGGTTCCCTGTGGTYCATGTTAGCTGTATATTTAGTTAGGTGTTGCCCAGTTTTTTAATGGTCTGTTTTTGCCAACTGATGCAAATTCTGCAAAAAGGAAGCTGACCCTTCCCCAACAGATAACCATATATCCATGTTTAATAACTATAATCAGAGTTCGTACAACTCTTTSAAATCCTTGAAAAGCCCTGGAATTGAAACATCCACAAACATAAAAAAATATTGCCAAAATAGTCCTGGAATTTTTAAGTGAAAATGTAGCACGAACCCTGTYAATAATGAACTATGACAATACTAATAACAATGTTGTTGTATTTACAGTGTTAAGATGGTGGTCATGTGGTTATCAGGAGATACATTTAAGACTTGTTACTTTATAGTTAAGAGTGCTCCAGTACAGTTCTGGATTTGTGGGATGTTGCAAATATTYATAGACATATCAATACTAGTACAAGTGTATACGTATGGCTATGAAGCAGCTAGCATGCACATCAAGTAATAAATACGGTATTCATATCAGTATGGACAGTACTCAGTATTTACTGTTTTTGCATTGCTACTTGACTAGGTGAACCCACAACTTAGGATACACCTGCCTGCAATCAAAATTTAAACAAACCAGCAGTTGGCGCCAAAGCATGTTGATTTGACAGAATGTCTAGTTGCAGTAATTGCAGTTGTTTTGACTTGACGCATGGTTCTGAGCAAATGCAAAAGATAGTGATATGAAGGGATTGACATTGTGGCTCCAGGTGTTCCATTTTATTGTTTGTACAGAGAGGTGACTCAAGTCACCATTTTTAACAGTAACAATAAAAAATAATATATAAAAGATWACATAACATATACATTAGTATTAAATTAATGAATTTTGGTAAACGTTTTTTGTCATAATTTTGTATTAATGATGGAAGTTCATCTGCTAGTAGTGCTGCTTCCCTGGTATGGACATTTTATCACTTGCTTGCGAGAAGTGATAATCCTACTATTTGTGACGTATGGTGACGTCACACACCGTACTATTACTTCAGTATCCGCTTACGCCCCCTTTCCTCTACGATCTCCGTGTATTCCTTTGCGTTCTCTTAGTTTAAAAAGCTGTTGAAGACATCATGGTTGCTGTTGATAGAGATGGTCTGTTTAGTGCTTATGAAGCCGTGAGAGACGATAAGACAGAGGAAGAATGGTRAGACATTAAATTATGCAATCCTGACGGCTTGATGCCGGTATATGTTAAAATGCATTCCATGCTATGGTTTTAAGAATTTCTAAACATTTTATTCTCGTAATGACAATAGTAATGGCAATATCTTGAAGTTACTTGGATGATCTTGACTTGATAGTGTTTTAAAGTATATCGTTGTAGTTTGAATATTTACTGCATACCTTGGTTATTGATTATTGTTGAATTGACCTTTATTAGAATTTGACATCTAAGTGATACTTAACTGTTAATTTGCATAGTGCGGGTAAAGTTATAATAATACTCTTACAGTGAGTATAATTATAAACCAAGCGATATCGGAGTATATCTGATAATTGTGCAATCGTTCATGGGGTGGTAAGATAAAAAACCATAGTCTACTAAATGAAAAAAAAAACGAAACGTTTCGTTTAATAATATGCTCGTCTTTGTGGTCGTTAAAAATTCTAAATATTTTTTTAGTGATATCGAGATTTGCCCGGGTTTATATATCTTTAAATGTTGCTTCAATTAATCATTTCCTGARTGAATTGGTGTGCTGAAGCTGTGTGTTGACCATTACATTGTTTCTGTCCGGCAGGGCGTTGTTCGGCTATGATGACAGCAACACTGTCGTGCATCTAAAGTCAGGTTCACAATACGATGATTTCTTGACTGAGTTGAAAGGTAAATCTTTWATTTTCTCTTTAACTATTCTCAAATAATCATCTACATCTATTTATCGGAATTGCGCAGTACAGCAGGGTATCGAAGGGTAGTTCCTTACTCACAAATTGCTATAAAAGCATAATTACAACCCATGGTTACAGTGATTGTACAGCAACACAGACAAGTTGCTTAAAAAATTGTTAGTGTACTGTTCAGATGTCCTTCCGGCTGTTTTGCAAACTTTCCTTTTCGTTTTCCTAATTTTTGTCTGTTCGTCAGAGTTGCTGATTTTTTCTCTCTCTTTCATTTCATGTCTTTGGGAAGACGAAGAACGATGTTATGCATACCTTCGCATCCAATCTGGGGACGAGCTAAGTAAACGAGCCAAGTTTGTATTCGTTGCGTGGATTGGCGAGAATGTTTCAGGAATGAAAAAAGCCAAAGTTGGCACGGATAAGAGCTCTGTCAAGGCGGTTCTCAAGGTGAGTTCATCAGTTGCATTCCTTCACCGCTTGCGTTGAATCCAGGGCAACGGTTCCGCACAATTCACAACTCTTTTGGTATTCATAGCTCCCTCCAAAATCTCGCTGCACCCTTCTATGAAGACAAGGCATTGCATCTTAGTTAGATTGTTTTTTGTTTGTTTTAGAATTTTGCAATTGAGATCTCAACCGGAGAGAAACACGAACTGGAACTGGAGGAAGTYAGGGCTGCAGTGCGAAAGGCTGGCGGGGCTAATTATGGAACCGGACAATGATAGATGAAACTAGTCAATCACACCATGGCTGTATTTTAATGATTTTAATTAAATACATTTAATACTACACTTCATTTGTGTCGTCTCTTGAAAGTTACACTTTCAACGTCTTCTAATCATTATTGTACTACAAGAAATTACTTTTAATATTATATATRAATTTGTTCTAAAAATATATTGTTGATATTCATTCGGAGAAAAATGCAGTGGAGGAAGGGCGAGAGTTTAATATGYTTCCCAGCTTTTAGGTTCTTTTTTCGTGGCTTTTTTGGGTTTGAATGTCAGTTCTTTTTGCTTGACTCGTTCTCGCGCCTTTTCAATGTCATTGATTGACAACGGATTCTTCATAATGGCTTGCAAAAGCTTGGCAAAGAATGGAATATACGACATAAATCCAACGAAGTCGATATAGCCTGGAAATAAAGAATTGCTCATCAATCATTAACAAACTGAATCACGTGTATTGAACAAGGTAAATATAACAAAATGAAAAAATGTAAAAAAAAAAACATTTTTAAACAAAAGAATAGATGACGTTAATTGATCTATTCATGTATATACCAAATTCATCTCGTGCAGCAGATAAAACTCTGCGAGCATCTGCAAGATCAGTGCCCATCTCAGTCCCCATTGCAGCGGAAACCATGACAAGTACTTCATCACAGTCAAGTCGATTGTCGTCATCTTCGTCCATTGTTTTATACATTTCCTGCATGAAAAATACACGATTACTATTAAAGGCATCATGGGAAACAAATGGGCTGTCTCGGTCTGAGATGCAGCGACTGCACATGSGTACCAATGTAGTTGTAAACCATTAAAACATTGCTTTGGAATAACATKCATATACGAAGGATGCCATTGTACAATTTTGAGAAACTAATCTAAATCGGAATGCCATAAGCTGTCTTTCCTGTGTTGTCATAGACGTACGTCTCTAAGCCAATGAGATATCGCGGCTTTTAGATTGTAACCAATATCTACTTACTTTGAATATCACAATGTGTTGGGCAAGCTTTTCTAAATCAAGAGCGATTGATCCATCAGCAGTTTCAGTCCTGAATWAAAATATACATAGGTAGCGTTTAGGTTTTAGGTAGCGTTTATATTTTTTCCTGAAGTTGCTTAGCGCGCCTGATATACTTACCTTGTACCAGCCAGTYTATCATTCARGCAGCAAATGGCCGTGAATTCYCTGCAATCCACCGTCTTGTCTTTGTTCAGATCAAATACCTAAGTGAAAAGTAACACTTCAATTGTAGTTAACGGTGGTTGTTGTATGGAGGTGCTAGTGNGAGTATGGGGATGATGTCCGTAGAATGAAGATGGACTGGAAAGGACTGTAGAATGGAGATGGAGTACTACAGTGGATGTCCTTAGCCATAGAGGTGGAGTATGGGGATGATGTCAGTAGAATGGAGATGGACTGGAAAGGACTGTAGAATGGAGATGGAGTACTACAGGGGATGTCCTTAGCCATAGAGGTGGAGTATGGGGATGATGTCCGTAGAATGAAGATGGACTGGAAAGGACTGTAGAATGGAGATGGAGTACTACAGTGGATGTCCTTAGCCATAGAGGTGGAGTATGGGGATGATGTCAGTAGAATGGAGATGGACTGGAAAGGACTGTAGAATGGAGATGGAGTACTACAGGGGATGTCCTTAGCCATAGAGGTGGAGTATGGGGATGATGTCCGTAGAATGAAGATGGACTGGAAAGGACCGTAGAATGGAGATGGAGTACTACAGGGGATGTGCTTAGCCATAGAGGTGGAGTATGGGGATGATGTCCGTAGCTGAATGAAGATGGACTGGAAAGGACCGTAGAATGGAGATGGAGTACACGGGGGATGGCCATAATGATCGTTTAGTTACCTGTACAAAGTTTTTGATATCATCTCTGGATACTGATGGCATCATCTTTAGTTTCAGTTCTTCTAAAGTCACGGAACCATTTTTGTCTTTGTCCACCTCGTTAAACATTTCTTTGAAMGCTCCTTTCTGCTTCTCACCAATAATCCCGTACATCGTTTCCTGGAATTGACTGAAGTTAATCTYGGAAGACCTCGACAAAGAAWARCAGCGTGTACTTACCGGAGTCAMGTCATCCGTGTTTTGTTTCATTTGATTTTCATGAAGAGTAATGGTCTCAGTTAAAAATACACTGAAATAACAAGATTKTTCSTTATGAGTCATGATCTGTAATTAATGATRGTTTAAAATGAATAARTCCAAAACTGTTGCAAACGCATAAATTGACTTACTCTGAAAACTTTGCAACTTGCGCAATCTTGGATTTGGAGATCTCAGATGAGATGAAGATCCTGTATAAGGGAATTGAAAGGACAATATAGTACAGTCAAACAACTGTGCAAATTTCTCAGTCACTGTTATATGCACTGACAAAAGCAACGAAACATGGACTTACCTGTTTGGCGGTGGTTTTCCTGGTTTGTATCTTCCATCCACTTCTTTCTTTTTAACTCCCAGCCATTCATCCATGTATGGATTCACATGATCATCATYCTTTTGTTCTTCTTTCTTTGATTCRTTGTCGTCGTCCTTGGGATTACCGGATTTAACTCTTCGCTGATTGGACGGCTGCTTTTTGGTAACTTCGTCTTGGAATCGTAAATTTTTAATTTTTTTGGATGTCTTTGAAGAGGTCGGTTTGATATTTTTCTTTTCTTTCTCATCTTCAACTGTGTTATTGTTTTTCACTTTATCGGGAACATTGTCAATATCTGCAACAGATATTTCTTGTTCAGTATTTTCTTGACAAGTTTTCTCCTCCTTTTCAGSTAATTCTTTATCCGCCATTTCGTTGCCAGTAGGTGTSTCGGTAGTTTGCTGGTTGGTTGACGATTCCGGTAGCCTAGTTCTACGTCCTTTCATGGCTAGAATATGATCAATGTCGTCTATAGAGCTTGTTTCAGATTTAGTATCCTCAGCCCATTTACCCTCGCTTTCACRCGGGCTTTGCTGCCCAGAAGGTAGATCCTATAAATACAACATTACGGCAAATTTTAACAGTTGCATCGCCTTACACAACCATAACTCACTATCCAATCACTTTTACTGCGATGATACAAAGTAAGCCTATATCAAGACACCACTACYACCATCAACAATAACAACAGCCRAACTAAATGTCCGCAATGAACTCACCGCAGGTGTCGGTGAGCTCAGCTGACCACTTGGACTATCGCGTGGATCACAAAGATCAGCTCTGAAATAAACAGATGATTTTAATCAGGCAGTTATCATTATTGCCCCTTAGATACATGTACGGAAAGGGTAACCCTATCGCATGCCCCTCCCTATTTCTCTTCCCTACAACATTTAAGCCACCAGGCAAGCAAGATATAATATGTGAGTGCATAATAAACTTACTCTGATTCTTTCAAGGATTGATACTGTCCTAATTGTTTTTGATGAGCAAGTAATTTGAGTCTCAAAAGATCATTTGCATCCACGTCCCACCTAAAATAATGCAAATTCATAAGTTGGAAGATGTTGGAACTAATTTGTGTTGTGCAGCCAAGAAATCACAACAAATACCTATGTTTAACAGGAATTTTATTTCCACAAAGATAGTAGTGTTTATCAACTCTGTGGGCTATTATCTGAAAAAAGAATCCATGCATACACTAAGTATCATCTTCAGTTAATATCAATTGTGAAATTCACTCTACATGGTTGAAATATATGAGAAGTGTCAGGGAAGTGCAACAGTGAGTGATTGAGGGACTGCATAAAGGGTGAAGGAGGTAATGGAGATCATGAGGGAAGTAGAGGTGATRGAGGCTGTGAGGGCCAGGGAGGTAAGCTAAGCTGTAAGGTAGGATGTCACGGAGAAGCAAGAGTAGGTGACAAAGAATTATAATGATTTATTGAAGAAATTACCTCAGATTTTCGTTTTAACCGCCGGCACTCATCTTTTGCTCTTGAYTCTGCCAGTTGCCGCTGCTTTTGAGAAGTGAACAGAATCCTAGGACTTAAATATATAAAAACTGCAATGATTACACTGTAGCAAGGAAGCTTACACATAAGCATCAGTTTACAATCTTACTTGATATCTGATGTCTGCAATTTATCAGGAAGAGACAAAGCCTGAAGATCATAGCGAAATACATTAATCTTCAATTTTGAAAACAAAACCAACAGAATCATAGCCATACTGTTATTTAATTTTTTCAATTTTTGATTTTTCACAAATGCTGACCACTTCCACATACCGAGTGCCGTGTTGTTGAGAGAGGTATGGATCTTGAYGTTCCATTAACTGACTGCGCAGCATATCTACTGGTCATTGGCATGGCAGGTAGGGAGGTTGTCTTGAATCTTGTTGTTGGGCTGTAAATAAAGAAATAAGAAATGAATTGTGCATGTCAGAGAAGATATTCCGTTATACTGACATACTGRAAGTCATAGTTTCCTTKYTGGTTTCCTCTGTTTTCTTGAGCTGTAGTTTGATTATCAGATCCCTAGAAACAAAAGAAATGAAACAATCCATGAAATTYTTAAGAAAACATTACATCTGGTACAATTAGTGTTATTTTGAAGATGTGTTTCTTGATAAAGTATACTGACTTTAATAAAACATGTCAATTATGTTCAAACAAGATCGTTTGCAAGATCGTTTGAGGGGACTGTGAGCGAGAAGGATGTAATCATCATCATCATTACTAATTGTAATCAAAGTGAAACAAAATATTTTTCTATCACGATTACAGTTATATCGTTTCCGGAACTGAGAAAATGATACCACTTACCATTAACGCTGTGTGACGATTTTCAACTCTACCAGGYGCTGAGAATGTACTTCTACTAGGCTGAGTAACAAAGATAGCAGGACTGGCAGCAAGATGTCGTAATGCAAGTGGTGATCTTCCACGATACTGTACATGACGCGCATGAGTCTCTTTCTGAAGCCCTTCAGTTTTAAACTTAACTGAAGGTGATACAACTTTGCGATATAAACTTGTAACAGCCTGATCGCCTGTAGACATGTTACGAGATAAGACCTTGCATTTAACACTTGAATAGTATCCAAGCGAACATTGACAACTACTTTTATCCGTAAAAAAGAATGACGTTCTCCATATCTAGCAGTTCATGGACTAACAAAATAATATAATCCGACTTACCCATGTTTTCACACTAGAAGAGCCATTAGTTGAAGATCAGGACAAAAGACCACTCAATGGAGTACATTCCACAGGTCTTTTGTTGGACAACAAACAAATATCAACTTCCACGAACTTTATTATAGCTCAATSGAGTCGTTAGAAAACCATCATACACAAAATATCAAAGTTTTTCTTGTTCCCTACAGATGGTCTGTGTCGTACAAATGAAACCAAATCTACGAACAATGTTACTCACAATTTACATAAYTGCTGTCCTTAGTTACAAGCTCATTTACATATCAGGCAACATGTACAACAGGTAGCCCACAAAATCAAAGCTAGAGTACAAGATGAGAATATAGAAATAAAAAGCATAAACGGCCACAATTGATCTATCAGCTATTCATCTTTAACCAATTCACAACTGAATTTACTGACTTAATCAATGATACTTCCATTTATCAAATTCACTATTACGGGTTTCCTGTGTTACTAACTGTTTCAAAATGGCGGCCGCCACGACAAAGGTGAGGCTWSAAACAAAAACATGTTTTCTCCTTTTTTGCCTTTATATTTTTTGARTGATGTGGAATTTAGATCTATTATAAATGAATTTATATTTAAMTAGATAAATACTAAAGTAGAAGACACAAATGTTACGCTGGAAGATCAACAATGTATTAATACATTTGCTCGCAAGAATGGCCGACTACTAGAAATCAAGGCTGACATAGAAGAAAAGAAGGTGAAGAAATTATTGTTTTTGTACTAATTGATGAACAATTTTTATTTCATTATTGAATATTTACTTAGTAGGAAAATAAGCTCACATGGTTGTACATTAAAACTTGACAGTGGAATCTGAGTAATTGTGCTGAATGTGTACRTTTGTGATCTGATGTTTTGCAGAAAAGTCTCAGGAATATTGAAGATGCTTGTGATGAACTTCTCATGCTGGATGATGATTCTACAATTCCGTATCCTTATGGTCATTAGGCTTTGGAGGCGGGGCTAGTTAGTTTTAGTGCTGAAAGCGTGGCATTGCAGATACGATCACAGGCAAAACTCCACCCTACCCCAGAAAATGAGTCTATACCCTATCCTAGACAAAAAACTACCCTATTCTTGACAAAACTACTGCCCTAACCCGGACAGATGGGCAAAAAATGATACCCTATCCCAGACTTGGAGCTCCGAAAAAGGGACCCTATCGGGCGGCACATACCTGTATATCAAATATAGGGGAGTACCCCACTTTTTTATATGCACTTGTGCTCACATTGTCTATTGTCTTTGTGHTCCCATTGTTCTGATGTGTACAATCTTTAACCATTAATAGCTACAAAATTGGTGAAGTTTTTGTTAACTTATCCTCTGATGAAGTACAAAGTATGTTGGAGAAAGAAAAAGAAAAAACAGAAGAAGAAATAAAAGGATGTGAAGATCAATGTACTAGCATACAAGAAGTTTTAGATGATCTTAAAGTCCGACTTTATGCCAAGTTTGGAAAGAATATCAACCTTGATGCTGATGATGATTAACTTTGTTTTAATCGTATGAAGCATGGCAGCTTTGCAATGAAAAAAAAAAAAGAACAATGATGTGTATTTCAATGCTCTCAAACACTAAACTGTGTTTTTCTGTGTTTGTCTCACTCTTAGCCATTCATATGGAAATGATTAGCAAAAATTATTTCCATATTTTGATAGATTCAATCATTCCCAATTTGAAATCAACAACACCAAAAATACAATTATGGATTAAGAGTGTGGTATTTCTTTAWAAGTGTTTRGAATGAATACAAAGTTCAAYGRAGATTTTGCATATTGTTTTCATTTAACAGTTTGATGCCTTGTACAGTAGCCACCTAAAAAAACTTAACCCTAACCAAGTTAAGATATGCTAATAGAGTCATTTTCATTTGTCTACTAGTCAGTGTTAATAGTAACTATTAGTGTGTGATAGGCTACTAAAAGGCAAAATCAAAACTGTGTTTGCCTAATTAGTTTGTCTCATGTCATAAGTTAAACTATTGGAAGCTAATAGTGGGGTAATAGTATTTAATTTAAAACATTGTGTTTTCTGTGTGTCAAAGGAGGGGTAAAAGTTGAAATTATTTTGACGTCCTACAAAATGAAGTTTAGAAACTCCTTTAAGGTCCAAGTCCGACAAATTTCAAGTATTTAATAGTACAATTCCTTTTTCACAGATGGATTAAAATGACTCTATGAAAATATTTTACAGCTATATATTGWGAGTAATCTGTCATTTATCAGCCCTTTTAGTGTGATTACTTTTCTGACTGAAAGACTTAAAAGTATCCAGCCAGCTAACAGGTCTACAGTACATCTGTAGGTTTATACCAAGCGCAGACCCGCCTGACTTTATCAAGATAGCAGGTATGTAYATTTGTATCTCAATGATACAAAAGCGACYATTGCGGGGAGGAATGCTTCGACTTGGGTACTATTTCACATTCTAGTAATAAAATACTGAAAAAAAGGAACGAGTCAATCCCCTTCAATAGATTACAAAAGTTAGCGATGACTGAATACAAATAAGAAATAAACTTTAAGATGAAATGTTGTTGAAGAAACACAACTCCAACAAGTTCTCGATGAGTAATGCAACAATCTACTGAAAATAGAATACAGCAACAACACCTTCATAGAAAAATTATTCGAAAATTTTAATTTGATAACAAATTGATGAATAAAGTAATGGCTATTAAACTTCTTTTTGACATTGGCAGTTTTTATTCAAAGGCAGGCGCGTAGCGTGGACGTTTTGGCTAGTACGCACATGTCAGGGACCGCGACACATATTATGGATTGAAGGGGCTAACTACCGCTGAAGACGGGAGTATTAGGGGGGGGGGRAAGAGGGGGGGGGGGGCTGGGAGTCCTCCCCAGGAAATATTAAAATAATAACTTTTGGAAATGCGATTTCCAGCGTTTTGAGGTTCTTTTTGATAACGAAGCCTTGGTACGAGAGAGCATGCATAGACAATTATATAAAAAGATCCCGAAAATTTTAATATTTCCTTTSCACTAGTACGCRCGTGCGTATATGCGTAAAGGACGCTACGCGCCTGAAAGGAGATGAAAATGAAATGGGAGCCAAAATGAAATTACACAGAATTTCAGTCGGAAAGAATACATATAGCTTTATCATTATCTTTGAATTGTATATTATTATATTATTATTATTATGGTTAGTTTGAGTTATTTGTATCTGAATTATATAAAAAGGATATAATATAATTGATATTTCCTTTGCACTAGTACGCGCGTGCGTATATGCGTAAAGGACGCTACGCGCCTGAAAGGAGATGAAAATGAAATGGGAGCCAAAATGAAATTACACAGAATTTCAGTCGGAAAGAATACATATAGCTTTATCATTATCTTTGAATTGCAGTTTCCTCAGATCAAATTTACATTGGAAGATCGACGTTGATTTATATGGTAATGTGGACCTTTGCGTGGCTGTTCATACTGGAGGGAGTCTTCATTACAGTCGCCAATGCAATAACAATCGTTATATTCACCAGAACGCGCCGTCTTCACAGCAAACAGTACATTTTGATTATCAGCCAGGCTGTAGCTGATCTCTTAGTTGGTCTTGTGTCTGTTCCAGTGTATACTGTTTGGAGGGTAATGTGGCAAGGTGACAGGAACTCAGGCTTCTATGATGTTTTTATAAAAATCGAATCCTTTTTGGCAACAGCTTCCTTATTTGGTTTGGCAGCGATGGCCATTGAACGAGCACATGCAACATACTTTCCATTTCGACATTACACATTAGGTAAATGTCCATACATCATGGGAATAGTTTTTACGTGGTCAGTTCCAATCTTCGTTGCTTTGTTGTCAATATTTACGTCTCCAGAGGACGGTTTGAGATTCTATATAGGAGTTCTCGGTTTCATACTTGTGATCATTACGGCTGCCTATTCTCTCATCRTTCTTAAAGTCCGTTGCGTCACAACCATTCAATCTCATGATGTAACCATCCAAGAGAACAAGAAACTAACTGTCACTCTTGCTGTTGTAACTGCACTGAGTCTGGTGACGTGGCTGCCCTTCCAATGCCTGGCCGTAGCTGGTTTACAAAATGCCTCCCTTTTCATCTACTATCCAGCCAAATTCCTCCAATATGGCAACTCCCTCGTCAATTCTGTTGTGTACGCGTTTCGTATGCGCGAAATTAAACGAGARATTCTGCGCGTATTCCAGTGTTGTCGCACCAATCAAATATCGATAAACAACGAAAGCGAACTTGGGAACATGTGAACTTTGAGAAATCGTCCTAGAAAAAGAAATTGTACAACGTTCCAATGTAAATAGAATTGTCTATATATCATGTGTCAGTGCACGTTAGACACAGTAACTCCATGTCGAAACCGAAAAACTATTATTAAAGTTGCATTAAGACTGTAGACTGTAAGCGCTAAAAACCATCAAAACTTAATAGTAATCAAATAGTGCTTTATTGTAATAAATATTGCGAACTTGATTTCTTTCTATTGTTTAATTTGCTCTTTCATCAAACGCRGTGGAACTAAAAATATGCCCTACGTTCGTCCTTAGCTTTAAGGTCGAAATTTTTAAATTATCTTAAAACAATCTTAAAAGATAGTCGTTAATTTGAAGTTTGCGCATGCGTATCACGTCATTCTCTGTTTTTTTTACTAATCTTGGTGAACATCCGTTGATCAGCAAATAATAAAAGTCAATAATAATAAGAAAATATATCARCTTATATCCACCGCCAGCAACAAGAAAGACATTCCTGCGAGCGAGCGCATCGTTTTATTGAAACATTGAACTTACGAATACAGCGAGGTTAGTACTGACATTGTTTTGAACAACATTTTTCTCATTGAAGACTCAAGTAAAAATATGCCATTGACTTTAAATAGAAAACAGTTTGTTTTAATAATTATCATTTCTCTTTCCACCAGAAGATCAATCGACACAATGCGTTCGATCTCTTGGCTGTTTGTTCAAAGGCCGTTGTCATAGCAGCAGGCAACGTCATCTCCATCGTGTTATTCACAACTACTCCGCATCAACGCAGTCGACAGTACGTTCTTTTGTCAGTCTTGCAGAGGCTGATCTGTTTGTTGGAATGTTGTCCGCCCTTATGCATATGGCATGTTTGAAAAAGGGCGAACTTCTAGTGTATTTCCAAGAGAAAAAAATTAATTCTCGTTTTTTTAAACAATATATCTTCTAAAGTGAAAAATAAAAAGTGAATTAGCCAGTTTCCTAATTAATTCTCTAATTTTAGTTGGAAATTTCTATTTGATACGTTCTCCAGACATCCGTCATGCGAATTTCCCGCCAAAAGTTCGCGCCATTTTAGTGCCCCCCCCCCCTAAAAAAATCCTGGATCCGCCCATGGACTCTACCTCCAAGACATGACATATGGATGCTTTGAGGCTTTTTCGACTCAGARCCTGATTGACCATGAATTGCTTCCTCCATTTCCTTCTTTTACTAGAACAGCTTTCTCGTTTTGTTTGGGAGATTTTTGGCAACTTAAGAGGACTTCTTTCATTCTATGGCAGTCGCTATGCCGAGTTAACATTCTAAAATTAGTCTACAGCAGGTGCTGTTGATGTTTTTGGGAGAAATCAAAATCGTAGCTATCTATGTAAATCTTAAGTTTTAATTTCATTGGAATTAGTAAATCACAAGCRAATCCTGCAATCTGATTGGTTCTTAGCAGGTTGATTTCAGCCTAAATCGCACCATATTGAACTCTTAATCACACTCCTTTGAGAAGCAAATATTGTATTTGTACGAATTAWTAAAATTTTATGCTGCACAATGTGTTAGATTTCAAAATGGATATAATYAATTGGTAATTGAACTTCGCTTCGTACAATTTGTTTGATTTCTAACCAAATTGCACTCCACTAGCATGCTCACTCCACTACCATTCGTAAAAGTACTGGTAATCATTTTCATCAAATTGGTGTGCACTATTTTTGCTCAAATTAAAAGGTTATCGCTTATTTCTTTTCCATTTTTATTTTACTTTTCTTTATATCCAAGAAAACGAAGAAAATTGTATAGAAATCTAAAGTTCAAGCTTATTTTCTTTATCATTTTTGATATATCCCGTGCACTCACCATCTGGTTTCTGCACAAGTAAATACAGTGACATTAGAGTCAAAAACTATTAGGGTGTGATAGGTTACCAAAATGCAAAATCAAAACCGTGTTTGCCTAATGTTTGTCACATGTCATAAGTTAAACTATTGMAAGCTAATAGTGGGTTTAATAGTATTTAGTAATAGTACAATTCCTATTTCACAGACGGATGAAAATGACTCTAAGACACCAAGCAATTCATTGAAAGTCACTGACTCAACTACAAGTTAMCTAAATGATAAAATGAACTAAATGAAACTCGCCCACACATGTCCGACCTTCTTCTGATTACAGGTCGCAAATAATTTTTTTTGTTTGCAACCAAAAGCAACAAGAAATAATATGGATATAAGAATTTYTGCTTAAATCATATTGCCTATTTCTCTTGCTCTTTTCTTAAAGCCAGTTTTCGTTCATTTTTACTTCAAAAGGTATAACCCCTAGCTGACCACTTCCCTAGCAGCTACACTTACTAGTATCATCATCATCATTATCATATTATCTTTGTGCACACGACCAGCCTCAGGACACACCTGGAGGGGGTAGTCTGAAGTTTTAAGAAAAGACTGTTTTTGACATACCCAGGCCATCCATTTTCAATGTGGATTTCGACACAAGTGATAGAGTAGATTTCGTTGACTTTGCAAAAGAAACACATAAGTGACTTCCGTACCGCGAATAAGCGAGTGCCGTGCCGTGTGGGCGCCGCCAACCGTGGCTTTGGACTGTCCCCCACACCGAAATCCCCCCGAAAAATCCCCCTATGACCGTGACCAGTYCGTTGTTAAACTGATACATATAGTTACATCGTTATTTAATCTACAACGAGTTAACGTCTGACTAATGTCTGCTGAAAAACCGAAAGAAACCGATTTTGGTATGAAAGTTTTTTGAGGTGTTTTGAAAAGTCTTTTCCCTACTTTATCGAAAAAAGAGATCGTTTGCCTTTTCACCTTTGTACTTAGTTTGTAAAAATATATTTTTAGTAAGTTAATATCATGTTACATGTGATCCATGCAGCCATTGGATATGGTGTTCGCGGCAAACTTGACAATCCAGATTTTGCACAGTAACCATTTAAGCTTAGGTATTGCACAGTAACCATTTAAGCTTAGGTATTGCTCTATAACGAATCAAAGAGTCAAAGTCAGCTGCGCAAGAAAGGATGACTAGCAACGTGAACACGTCTGAAGTCGAGACACTTCTACAACATAATGGACGACAGCCAGTGGTGTACAGTGGACTAATTRCAGCTCCAAATASTAATGATGCATCAAAATCTCTCTCTGCGTCACTGGTAAGGAGATCTAAGGAGGTYTTCGCACAACCAGGAATACCGATTTTCAGGGCAATATTTGTAGTTATGAATGGTGCTATGGGTGCTGGTATATTGAACTTTCCTCAAGCTTTTGCCAAGGCAGGAGGAGTGATGCAGGGAATGACCATACAACTAGTAAGTGACATTTCATTTAAATTTGTAAAATTTTGATTGATTTCTTAATTGTTAGAATTTCAAAATTAACGAAAAATCCAGTTTTACCCATTTAATTAGGATTAAATATTGCGGCTTATGTATTATATTCCTGATCTCTTCCCATCCATTTATTTATTCGTAAATTCCCCTGATGATCTCAGTGAYCAACAGGACTCAACGTGACTCGGACTGGAACTTTGATATAGCTATATAATTCGAAGTTTTAAATATTGAATTACAAGKACTTAAAATCCCTTCCACAGTCTGGATTGGAGAATTTTGAACAATTTCTCAAACAACGATCGGTGATTATAGACCYCTCAAAATAAAATCACAAGTGCCCTAATTACCAGATATGTGATTGGATGATTAATACTTCAGGGATAAGTACATGTAGAGTTGAGAATAAACATGCATTTGGTGTAGACAAATGGTCTTAATTAGGAAGGCATCCCCAGGAGCAAAGGGAATAACCTGCTAAAGGTTGATTGCATGCATGCCATGGCATAATTWCTACTGACCGATCAAAAAAAGGTTGTTTTTCTTAGACCTTAAAAGGTCTACCAAGGACAATAAAGGATAAATTAACATAAAATAAATCATCTTTACGTTGAAATTTTAACATGCAAGTGTTCTATAACAACCTTATATTAATACATTTTACCTTCTTCAAAAGTTAAAGTCACCYACTGAGGTCAATCACATGTCATGGCAAATTGTTTTGCATTCGGAAATCAAGCATAAATCTAAATAAGGTCAAATGTCATCCTYAGGAATAAAGGAGTAATCTGCAAAGTTTACTGCCTGCCTTGACATAGTTCGACTCATTYTATCGACCATTAAAAAAAAAGAAAAACACATACACACATTATTAGTTTAGGATGACAAAGGATAAAGTGTCACCCACTGAGGTCAAGCACATGTCATGACAAGTTGCTATTGCGTTTTAAGAGGACTCTAAAATTACGGACAAATGCAAATAAGGTCAACTGTCAGGAGAGTGAGATAGATGACATAAAAGWGAGTTGTGGAGAAATTTTGAACTCATTGGAGATTCACTTAATTCAGTGATATTTTTTATCGATTTTAATTGATTAACAAAGACTGATTCAAAATCTATCCAATCTATCTCATTTATCTATATCTAATTTAATGTCATTTGAACTTTGTTCCCAGTGGTATTGTCTACTGGGAAATAAATTGGACATGGTTTGAAAATCTCGTATGTTTAAGTACTGTTTGTGTATATTTTAGTGTATGCTTGTCTTCATCATTGGAGCGTTCTTGATCCTTGCATATTGTGCAGATAAATGTGGAGCACAAAACTTTCAGCAAGTAATTCGAGGCTGCCTTGGCCATAAGCATTATGTTTTAGCAGAAGTCTTGGTATTGGTATACATGATAGGAACTGCYGTGGCCTATATGGTACTTATTGCAGACCAGCTTGAGAAAGGTATTAACACACGTCAAGAAATGTACTAAAAACTACTCCACGAGTTAGGAAAAAAGAAATGCTGTTACGTTATTATATTATTTTTGCTGTTATTTCAGTTGGAGAGGCAGTAGCTTCTGGAGAGCATTGGTATGTGAAGAGGAACTTTTTGCAAAGTGTTGTTGCTGTATGTTTTCTTTTACCATTATGTCTGCCAAAACATATGGGAATACTTAGTTATACAAGGTAACTATCACACTTTCATTCATTGATGGATTAGATGGATGGTAAAATTAGTTGAAGTATGTAATTATGCATCAATGAATTCTTTCATTTAAGAAAGTGTAAAGTTATTCTATCTAGATTGTCTTATGTCTCAACAGTACTGTTGGTGGCGTTGGTGTTGCATATATCTGCTTTGTGGCTGYCTACAATTATTTTGTTGGGACATACAATGTGAACAAAATTGAGCCTCAGTAAGTAGTCTTGAAATGTTTAAGTCTGATATGCCATCTGATGTCCTGTTATTTGATTATCAAATAGTCCAGAGAAGAACATAAAAGATTATTTGACTGTTATGCCAACCATTTGCTTTGGATATCAGGTATGAAGTCAATTTTCCTCCCTTCTTTCTGCCCTTCCTTCTGTTCCTCCCATTTTTCATGTGTTCATACCATCAGTTACTCTCACTTTTTCTCTGTTCTTATATATCATGGGAAATAGACATAAATACATTGTCTTCCTTTAAACATTGCCTGTCTAGGTTCATGTACAAGCTGTATCAGTTTATGCCGAAYTAAAGCGTCCCACTGTCCCACGGTTTGGATTGGTTTGTACAATGGCCATGTTTTTCTGTTTAGTAGCTTACTCATTCACTGCATGTTTTGGTTACCTCACATTTGGAGATAAGCTTGAGGGTGACTTCTTGAAGAACTATGATAAAAGTGATGTTCTAGCCAACATTGCCAGGGTTATACTAGCTCTTTTGGTACTGTCATCTTATGCAGTGTGCGCCTTCTGTGGCAGGTAATCATTAGTTATTCATGGTTTGATCTCTTTTTACATATACATGTAATAATCCATTGATGGTAACAATATTTCATGCAGGTCATCTATAGAAGGTTTATGGATGATGTCTTGGAAAATGTCTATAGTCGAGGGACAACAACATGCTAAACTTAGAAGGATTATCATCACCACTGGCTGGGTKACAATTTCTCTCCTTTGTTCTATWTTTATACCTGATGTTGACAATGTCATCTCTGTTGTTGGAGGAATAGCAGCATTATATATTTTCTTCTATCCAGGTATATTGATAAAGAAATACAATGTATTGTGAGAGGGCAGCAAGTCACAGTCAGATCCTCTTTAGGTTGAGGTGACAAAAAGAAAAATAATGCTCCAACCCCCAACCACTCATAAGCTGCATCATTAGGCAAAACAGTCAGTATCTCATTCCTACTTGACATAATTTATAATCTCCACACATAAGGCATTAATCAGTTCCCAACAGTCAGTATTTAAAAGAGCAAAAGATTGGTTGCCCTTTGTAAGAATGTTTTTTGCTGTTTCAGGGATTTGCCTTGTAATGGAGTTAATCAAAGACTCCTATCTGACAGTCTTTCATTGGATGTTAATTGCTCTTGGCATTGTATATGTTGCCATAGGAATATTCTTGTTTGGTGAATCTGAAGTAATAGCAGTACAGATGGATTTAAAATGACCAAGCTATTACTAGAGGACTTGCCAACATGAATTTATACATAAAATGCAGATTTAAATTCAAGGACAGAAGTGTAGCTCACACCAGAAATAGCTAGCCATTTAGCAAAGTGTCATTGAAGCACCTTATGCTGTAAGCCTGTCACTATAAACAATTATACCTTATTCAAGGGCTAACATATGGGAAGAAAGCAATCACTTAATATATGTTTATTTAACATTATATGTATACAACCTTGAAATCAAATAATACAGTATTCTTATAAAAAAACAATGGACACCTTACGCTGGGTAGAATTTCATTTGCTGTTTTCACCTTGATCTTTTGTTGAATCCTGTCATATTTCGGACCTAAAAATATATAATACATTGTGATAGGTCAGTGTCTTGGATGCAGCAATTCCTTTAATAAGGCAATATGGTGCCACTACTAACCGTAGTTAAAGCTGTAAACAGTAGTTGAGCAGTGTCAGCACCAGTCTTCTCAACCTGCAAGCAATAAATCATCCATATATATCAGTCATAAGCCAAGAAAAGATCACTGACATAAAAGTTTCAGCTGCACCATGACTTATACTCACGTTTTCTTTCATTTTAGCAAACTGTTTTATGTCTTCAAGTCTCTTGTCTAGGAATGCCCATGTGTTTACAAAATCCTCTGAAYGATCTCGGACCATATACAGCTCTATCAATAAATTATCACCACAACTATTACTGCAATTACTGAGTTGATTAATTCATTTATAACTAAGAACCACTTTTAAATACATGCTATCGCAGTAATTCTCCTATTCTAAAACTTTATTGGAAGGCACTGATATCATATTTGAATGTTACCTGTTGCCCCATAAAGAGCTGCTAAAACACCTCGTTTTGTATACCAATTTATCTGAAAATTCAAAATCAGACAGTAAGATGGGATTCCTATGTATTCTCAACACGGATTACAAGACCTACTTACATCAGTCGATGTGTCTCCAGCATGATACCAGATGTCATCTACCATGTAAGAAACAGCCTGGAGGGCACCTGGTGCATTCTGGGGCATTGCCATTAGACGCATTACCTGGAATTTATAAAATGTCAATCAACTGTACAAATAATTCTTATAATATATCATGTGCTATATCGATGTATTTGTGCATATACCTGCGGCCAGCTATCGATATATGGAATAATCATTCGCAATCTAACTTCTAAGGCATCTCTTATTATCATAYTCGCTCTACGTCTCCTACAATATCAAGCAATAATTCATTTTAGAAAAAAACAGTGATATATCACAAATAGTAATATAGAAAACCTTTGGTATTTACAAGGCAATACCAGATGTCTATATTTTCAACTTACGGTGCATCCTTATTCTCTTGATCCTGTTTTGTATTCTCTGTTAAATAATCAGCTAATTCTATGTTACAGTCCTCAATAAAGAACAATGCTAAGTCACCACCTCCACGGGGAAACATGTCTTTCACCATTGATGACAATCCAAGTGTTTCTGCTCCTGCTGAAATACAATTTGATGTCCATCCATGYTGATGGACAAAAGGCAAAGATGCTTTGAGTATTCTACTTTCAATGTCTTCTTCTTCCTCARATTCATTATGCAATTCTTCCTTGTCTGATTCAATGTTACTGAAATAAAATAAAAGTGAGTCTGAAATTCTAAGTACCCTGGTATTTGAGCATATTTCTTAGTGATGCCCTTTTTGGAAAAAAAAATTAAGCTTAAGGTGGTGCATTTTTCTTTTAATTTTCACTTCAGAAATAACCTACTCATATTCCTGTGAGTTTTCTTGTGACGATTTGTCGTCTGTGTGAAGCCTCTGAATCCTTGATAACCCTTTAATACAATAGCTCTAATATTAATTGAAGGTACAGTACAACGCTCAAGCCTCTTAAAAAATTACGTAATCATTCGATAACACTATACATGTCATCTTAAATAGAGACAAAAGGGATTTAAGGTCTGCAGTAAGTGTTGTTATCACTCAACATTCATTGACTTACCAAATAAACCAACACGGACAGTTTGAACTTGTTTACAAAACACAAAACGAAATACATTACTGGCCGCCATATTGGTTAGTAGGTATACACAGGAAGCCCAAAACTCAATCAAAGTATACATGATATTTTGAATATAAAGTTGCATGATTTCAGAGTCTATCTGATATCGAATAATGCTCATATCATAGGTCTTAGGGCTACTCTGGGAAATAACTTTGATAAGATATAGAATATTTTTCTTAAAAATTAGCACTTTGAACATGGGATCCCTGTGTATTTAACAGACAGAGGTAACCCGTCCTGCACGTGATTCAAATACAAGATGGCTGCCTTGTGGTACGTTTTCAACGGTATTTGATTCAATCTCCGCCATGTCATTGTTGAGAAACACAGCTAACTCGGGTATCAAGCGTTCAATTTCAGAGTCTGATGGTGTTGTACCTGTTAAGAGGTCKCTTTCYCGYTCGTTTTCTTTGTCAAACAATCAAAATGGCCACCACCATCACCACCGTCATTYACACCATGGTCATCATCGGGACAAGAACAAGAACACTGCCATCATGCACCAACGGTTTAACCTTCCTATCTATCCGGCAAGGAAAGCGTTRATAACAGARATACGTAGTAAAGACAATGTTGTWGTTGTTGGTGAAACTGGCAGCGGAAAAACAACGCAAATACCGCAATATTTGTATGAAGCAAAGTTTGCCAAAGAAGGGCTGATAGCCTGCACTCAACCACGACGAGTTGCTGCTATTAGTATAGCTCAAAGAGTAGCTAAGGAAATGGCCGTTGAAGTAGGTCAAGAAGTGGGCTATACTGTAAGGTTTGAAGATGTAACATCACCCAGAACTAAAATCAAATACATGACTGATGGTATGCTCCTTAGAGAAGCAATTGGGGACCCCTTACTGAAAAGATATGCTGTTATCATACTTGATGAAGCTCATGAGAGAACCATACACACAGACGTTCTCTTTGGTGTTGTGAAAGCTGCACAAACTATGAGAAAACATCAAGGACTTCATCCTTTAAAGATAATCATCATGTCTGCTACTCTAGAAGCTGAACACTTTTCCAGATACTTTAGCAATGCTGAAGTATTGTACATAGAGGGGAGACAGCACCCCATACAAGTCATGTACACAGCCGACGCCCAAGTGGACTATATACATGCTGCACTAGTCACTATTATGCAGTTACATCAAGACCAACCACCAGTGTTAGTATGTTGATAGMGAAGGCTTAAATCACTGTGATTACAGTAACAGCAATTTTGTTTATTTTTTTTACAGAGGTGATATATTGGTATTTTTGACTGGTCAAGAAGAGATAGAATCCTTAGCCAGATTAGTCAGTGATTGTGCAGAACATTGTTCASCAGGTATGGTTCCATTCATATGAAGAGTGTTATTTWKATGTTGAYTGTACAACATGTAGCCTATGTTGMTTCAGAACAACACTAATCCAACTAAGAGTCTACATATTGTTWTTATTATTTTCACTATTAGATTGCCCAAAGTTGGTAGTATGTCCTATGTTTGCAGCACTACCATCAAGCCAACAAATGAAGGTATTTCAGCCAGCAACACCCTGGACTCGTAAAGTGGTTTTATCAACTAATATAGCAGAGACATCAGTAACTATTCCTGGTGTGAAGTATGTAATAGATACTGGTTATGTCAAAGCTAAAGGTAAAGGATTTATTTTCCTTCAAAATACATTATTGACACTATTAAACTGTTCAGAYATTGCATTAGGCTAATAAACAATTCTCGTTGGATTAGTTCATGTTATACAATAAAATTAACCAGAGAATATTAGTTTATGGCAGTAATAAACTCATAAACTAATTTATTTTCCTTCAAAATACATTATTGACACTATTAAACTGTTCAGACATTGCATTAGGCTAATAAACAATTCTCGTTGGATTAGTTCATGTTATACAATAAAATTAACCAGAGAATATTAGTTTATGGCAGTAATAAACTCATAAACTAGTGACCCTCGCTCCTAAAGTTAAATGGAAAGAATATATAATAAAAAATAATAAGTGCTCTCATTTGTTCACAGGATTTCACCCTAAGACAGGTCTTGATATGCTGCGAGTTCAGCCAGTGTCCAAGGCACAGGCACGTCAGCGACTGGGCAGGGCTGGTCGAGAATGTAGTGGTACATGTTACCGGTTGTACACAGAAGACCAGTTTGACAAACTGCAAGAAATGACTATACCAGAAATCCAGCGCTGTAATTTAGCTAGTGTTATACTGCAACTTGTTGCATTAGGAATCAATGATGTTGAAAAATTTGATTTTATGGATAAACCTGATGGAAATGCCATTAAGAAGGCTCTGGAACAACTCTCTCTTCTGGATGCTTTAGAAAAACAGCAGGAAGGCTATAAGGTAAATATTGTCATCATCAGTACATGTGCATATATCATTATTAGTATCATATTCAAAAATGAAAGCAATTATTTTTCAATTTTCAGCTTTCTTTTATTGGTCACAAAATGGCAAACTTTCCCCTAGAGCCCAGACTATCTAAAGTTATTCTTGAGGCAGAGAAACTTGGATGTACTGAAGAAATTCTAACAGTTGTTGCACTTTTATCTGTGGACTCAATAGTTTACACTCCACACAACCAAAGAGAACGTGCAAACACTGTGCGTAAGAAATTTCTGTCATCTGAAGGAGACCAGATTTCTCTGCTGAACATCTACCGTGCATACAAATCAAGTGGAATGGATAAGACCTGGTGTCATGAGCATTTTATCAACACTAGGGTCATGAAACTTGTYATTGATATTCGTAAACAACTACGAGAGATCTGTGGGAGGCTAGATATCAACTTGAAATCGTGTGGTAAAGACACTGGGCTGGTACGGCAGAGTATTGCTAGGGGATTGTTTATGAATGCTGCAGAGCTGCAACTTGATGGCACTTATCAGACTGTTACACACCGTGAGACAGTAGCCATCCATCCGTCATCATCATTGTTCATGTCAAAGGCACCATATGTAGTATATAATGAGTTAATTCATACTTCAAAGTGTTATATGAGAGATGTCTGTTTGATATCTCCTGAKTGGCTGCTTGAGGCTGCACCAAAGTACTTCCAGGAACATCGCATTAAACCACTACCAACCTCATTGCCGTCATAAGACAAAATTACTTCTACTGTATCCTTGCATAAATTATAAGACCATAAGACAARATTACTTCTACTGTATCCTTGCATGCATTATAAGAGCATAAGACAAAATTACATTTTATTTGAGGCAACTAACTATGGCTAGAATCCTTACCCACATTGTAATGGTAATGCCCTCAGTGTTTATACTCATAGTACTTTGGTGTTAAGATAATAATTTTTTTTCTTTCATATTTACTTACAATGAGAGTACTTTCTTGTTCATCCTACCATTCTTGTATAAAATCTCTAAACCATATCCTGTATTCATGCAGAAATATGTTGAACCAGCTTAAACCAGTTTATTATCAAGAAACAATTTAATCTATATTTTCTACACATCATGTTTTAGGTAGAGAGACACAATATGAATATTTGCTTGCAATATACGACTTCCAGTCTTATGACATCATTCACTGTAGTTATCTATCGTTTTACCTGGCTAGTATAGTATATGATCAAACTGGGGCATGCGCACACACGATACTAGGCGTACGTGAGAACGATAAAGACTCTATGTAAACAGTTGATTGAAATATATGAAAACCACAGATTACAAAATAGTAAACATTGATAAGAAATAAAAAATACAAAGTTAGAATAAAAATAGATGAAAAAGCACAAAAGAGAAATGAAACTACCGTGAATGGATAACTACAACTAAAACACAAAACACACCATTTCTCGAAAGTACGCATTAATTTCTGCTCACTCGTGTGGACATYAATACCGTTGGATTATTTTAATTTGTATGCAAATCACCCAACACTTAGTCTACACTGAATTACTGTTTTGGAAAGATTCTGTGGCATAACTAGAATTAATGTCATTAATGGCGTTCAAAAGTATGATAGGAATATATTATTTCAGAAACTACTTTTCTTTCATCTTGTTCGTCTTGTTAAACAGGTTTTTTTCTTTTTTTCGCCTGCTTTCTATATTCGTTTCGCAAACCTGTCATACAGGTTTTGTATCCTGTACTTGAGCCTATTTGAAACTGAAAACCTTTCATATTTCATTTGTAAGTATTTCTTTCACACATACACTGAAGTGATTGGAGTACGTACTTTACACTTATGAAAGAACGGCTTGACGCTCTCTCTAACTTGATTTGTTCACCCCTCACCAAAGGGCTGAAGTTCTCAAATTTTGGCAAAGTGTTCTTCTTGATTTGAATAGCGCGGAGTTATTTTGGTAGTAGTATTAATTGTATTATAATCTAGACCCGTCCCAGTGAAAGACATTTTTATGTTTGACCAAGATATACAAATGATTTATCATTGGAGTCGGAACTGATGTTGAAGTGTTTCATCTGATAACATCGAGACTGTCTCGTTTTTTTGTTTCCATTGTGATATTTAACAACAATCTTTATATTTTTATGTGTTTCCTAAGAGACCATCTTGGTAGCTAGCGATAATTCTATGACCGATGGTTTTTTATTAGGTTTTGATGTATTCAAAGTGGTTTATTTTGGATGTTGTGTTTATTCGGCGCGTTTGATATTATTTCTCTTTACTGCAATGGCCAAGGCTGAGTCACGAATTTCGTTCAGCTGTTGAGTTATATGATATATTTTTAGCTCGGTAGAATGTATTAACATATGAATCATCATTTTTACCGGCTTGAACTCTGTAAGGAGCAATATGAATGCATAAATTTTTTCTCTAAAAACAGGAATGTTTCGTTCGATTCAATACAAAATTTAGAGCTGTTTTTCATCGGGTTTATTTTAGTGCAATAAAGAAAAAAAAAACGAGAGAAAGACTGAAAATAGAAATATCGATGTTGTTTTATTTCGATTTAGGCTTCGTTCGATAAGGAATTTACCTTGACCAGCATTATTACTTCCTCCGTGTTTACAAAAGTTACAAACTTGCCGCCTACGAGGAAACGCTGTCAAATAGAGAGGCCTAAAGATAGAAGCCATTTTAATAACGCTGGCCACCTTTGAATATAACTACTTCACTATATGCTCAACGAAAACCATTTCAATTAATGGACACCATTACAATTTTGAAGAAAAACAATCTCGCGTCGCGTAAAACAAAACCATTTCAGTGTTCGCAACTACATTTCATTGGTAATAGAAATTCAATTCACTGTCGATGAATTACCTGTAAGAAAATGTAATGTAGTTTATCGTTTTTTTGTGTGTTTTGTTTTGATAGTAGAATAACAAATACCCTGATACATGATATTCGTACAGTCAAATTAACAAAAAAGTTATTTTTATATCACTTTAAAGGTCTTTGAAGCAAGCAAGTTTTATCGAGACAATTTATTTGTAGGCTGACATAGAACCGTTGTACCGTTCAACGACTATAAATAGATGGTTGTATCTGATAAATCATGTATGGCTGCAGAGAGGCGAAAGGGAAAAAAATTAGGCACACATCATGCACAATTACAACAAGGACAAGGTGGAGATGGATTGGTTTGTGGTTTATTTGTTCCGTCCTTTCTTGACACATCGTTTTAAAAGMATCTTTTCTGCTAGTTTCCTTGTATTCAAAGTGCTAATCCTCGTGCCGATCATGTACTGTGATGGTCCTTTAATGTATTACAGTGACGAGTTGAAGCCTTTTACTTTTCCCACTACACAAGAGATTAGCAAACTTAAAGGACGTCAAAACCTAACGGGGACATTAGGCGTTAAAAATAGATTAGCTCTTTTCTATTTTTTGTGGTAATTATGATGAATAGCCCTCATTTCTCAGCGCAAGTCGATGGCAAATACAAAAATAAGTTTAATTGCTTTATTAATTTTCTTAGAAATTGAATGTGTCATTTACATGTATTCAGTCAAACCTGCTAATCACAAAAATATTACAATAAAATAAGCCTCGATTTGTCTGGGAATGCTTCAATTCGTTCAAAAATCTTTTTGTCAGTGATATTACTAAAGAAGCGTTGTAACTTTTCGCAGCACTGTAATCCTGATCGCTATAAACAAAATCTTTTCGTGTTTCTACAAAATTATTTTCAGCTAAGAAAAACGAATGAAGAGCCGTTCAGCTGTAGATCTGTAGCCATGATCCAGCTATCAGCTTTGTCTCGCGGTCTCCCAGTTCACGATCTATCTTATCTATCGAATTTTGCTTCAAAAGTTTAGCACGGTGTCTTTGTTTACTCTCCTTCAAAGATGTTAAAATATCGTCGTCTTCACTTCCTTCTTCGATGGTAAAAGCCGAAGGAAAATAGTCCGGGAATAAATCACTCACATCTGCCTCGCCGATTCCACCAAATTTTGAGCGTTTGAGAAGACCCATGCGCCATCTTCTCTGCGCTCTAAGTCTTGCTACAGTTGCGCCGTCTTGCTGACATTCAGAACAGCTTTCTTGTTCGAGTTTTTGTGTTTTGCTTGATTCGTCTTCTTGTTTTTGTATTATGTTATTTTGGTTATCGTTTTCCTGTTTTGATTCTTCGTTKTTATCACAATTCTTTGCTGGCTGTGTTGGGGATTGTGTTGTTGTTCTACACGATGGAAAAACTTTGCTACAACTTTTAGGCCACTGTACCTTGACTCTTGTTGTACCCTCTGTTTTTGTCGAACAACATTTAGCAGACTTTTCTTCTTTACCRTGAATCGGGCTCGTTTCTCCACTTTTACTATTTGCCATTTTTAGAAAACAGTTCAATGAATCCCGGAATTATTGCAGCAAAGCTGGAGAAATCTGTTATGGATATTCACTCTTGACACAAGAACCAGAAACCTGAACTTACTTGGCAAACACGACGAGTTTTATTACATAATATGACGTCACGTTACAATTTGATTGGTCGGAATAACATGTGATTATATTATAATTATCAGCAGTATCTGCGCTATGGACGTCAAACAGTTCATTCAACCCACTAGAGCTGTTTTTAGTTTTTTCACACAAGAAACTTCTGTTACTATAAATAGAACAACATGCATACTGAAAAATCATTTGTCAGTTGTTTCTCACGGAATTCAGCAGGTGAATTAGAACACTGACAATTCTTTGTCCACTCAATAACCTACTACGGTTACACACAAAGTTGATCTCATGATGAGAGTATCATAGGCATAACGGGGGTTCATAATTTTATGATTGGATTTCTATTTCTTATCATAAAGGTAGAACAGTACATCTATAAGTATTTTGTTTTTTTTTACATCACGTGTTTCCAGCATTCCGTTGTGTGTGGTTAGTTCACTGTGTGTGAGGGATGGGTTTACCGTTAACAGACACTGACTATTATTTCATTGTCTGTGTATCACTTTACTAGAGATTACTCCTAAGAACATGACAGAATCCTTGCAGACAACATTTCTTACTACTGGAAATGAATATTCAATCTTGCAGATCAGAAAAAAATGTGATATAATGAACGAGAAGAAGTCTATTTTTAGCATTCATAAATTTTCTTTTATAAACTACCAAAAAAGGATAATATTCGCGGAATGTTTCTGTTATTTTCGAATGTGATTAATGTAAGATGTTACAATTATAGATGTGAGTTTTTAATCATGCTGTGGAACTATTGGTCAAGCAGTGTATGATAATATGAAGTAAATAATGTTTGGTCTGTTGACGTCTGTAGRTGATCAGTATTCTTATATATCAATCATAGATCTATTTTAAGMCTTGAATGTCATTCCTTCTCAATTATAGGTCAACAATTCATATAATGCAAGCAGCTATCAATCGTCTGAGAAATATTTCAAATACACCCTAAAGGTTTTCGAGTTACACTTCCTCTCATCGAACCAAAATAATGGATGTGACTTTTTCTCATTGGCCAGAGTTTAATATGGTTATCTGCGCCGGTCTAAATTATATTCAAATCTGATTATAATTCCTTTATTGGACTAGTTTTGACTTTATTTATTTAAGAGAAGCAATTTACGTTTGCTCTAAAGTGCAAAATAGTGATTCGAGAGGCACTTCATTGTCACTGCCTTTTTACTATTTTGCCACAGGGATCTCATAAAGAGGCGGGAAGTTTTAAGTAGCGATATAATCAAAAAAAAATTAGATTTAAAACTGAAACTGGACATATTTTGTATATATTATTAGAGTACCAATGGTATTTCTAACCTACAAATAATATAAAGTTAATGGTGATTTTTACTTTTCTCAGAGTACCAAGCTCTATAGTTAGTAGAATTCTTTGCCTGATAAAACAGAGAACATGACTAAAGTTCT